TCTCTCTCTCTCTCTCTCTCTTTCTTTTTTCTTTCTCTCTCCTCTTTCTTTTTGTTTCCTTCTGTCTCTTTCTTTTTCTTTGCTATGTATTATAATGTAATATTATATATAGCTATAATATATAAAATAACTTATATAATATTATAATATCTCAAGAATCCATATTTCATACTATTCACAACTGATTTTCCAATAAAATAAATTTTACTGAGATATATCAGAGTGGAAAATTTTATTCTTAATTTCAGGGCGTTGTTTTTGTTACTGTGGTTAGTCGCTGCTCTATAAGATTTCTATTGGGGTGGGCATTCTATTTGTTGCATTTAATTTAAGTAATGAACAAATATGAGGGATTAACTTAATGGATCTGGGGGCACTGGAACTTAAATGGAGGTTATTTCATTTGTCAGTATGAGACACGGCATCATTAGTTCTGCTCAGTTACTTGTTTCAAGAGCCAGGCATTAGCCTTGGATTTGGTAAATCTGCCTGCTATTGTTTGTAAAGCTGCCTCTCCAGATACAGCAGGCATATTAATCAAAGGTGAATGGATGCAATTTACTAATGGTGAGAAGGAAAACAAATGTAGACTGTATCCAAATAACTCACCAGTGAAATACCAAGGCTCGGCCCATCTCACTTGCATCATTACCTTACAACATGTTGTCTGTAATTCAGCTGAACGTATAAATCAGTAACCGTGGATCTTAAATAAATTCAACTGCAATTTGAAATCTGCTCAATACATGTTACATAAACAAGTAGAAAACTTGATTGACTACCACCTACAACTTTTAACTTTTATTTTGCAGATAAGCAAACCAAAGCTCAGAGTGGTTATTAACTTGGTCAAAGTCAAAGAAGTGGTTAAAGCACTAAAAATTCAGTCATTTTCAATTTCTATTATAACATATAGTTGGTGATCTAGTCTATAAAGCATCTCCTTTATCTGAATTCCAACTTCAACTAACTTTTAAACTTATTATAAGAACATAAATATTTTAAAAACATAAATTATTTAACGTTATATATATTTTATGTATACAACATACATACTAACATAATTATATTATGCAATACAATTCAGTACCTTCACATTAATTCTTGGCTGTCAGGATACCTAGTCCTTTCCCACATTTTCTCATTAGGTCTTTAAAAGGAGGAGCCAGTCTTTCTGAAAACTACTATGTCAAAAATCCTCTAGTTTATGAGCTGTACCCTAGTTTTAACATCAAAATCTTGCTTTTTTTCTCTACTGCTTGATTTTGCTATCACATATAAAAAATTCCTTCATACATCCTGTTATGGGTTGAATTGTGCTCCCCAAAATGATATCTTAGAATCTGACCTTATTTGGAACTAGGGCCTTTACAGATGAATCAAGTTGAAATCAGGCTCTTAAGGTGAGTCCTAATCCAATATGCCTGGTGTCCTTAAAGGGGAAATTTGGACACAGAGACAGATACACACGGATGATAAGGACACACAGGGGACACCATGTGAAGTTGGAGGAACAGTGTGATGCATCCACAAACCAACAACAAATCAAAGGAAACCAAAGGTTGCCAGGAAAAAAAAAAAGAGCTAGGATGAGGCAAGAAAGGGTCCCCTACAGGTGCCAGGGAAGCGTGTCTCTGCCAACACCTGGATTCTGGACTTCTGGCTTCAAGGCAACGAGACAATAAATGTCTGTTGTTTAAGTCAAGCAGTTTGTGGTGCTCTGGAATTGCAGCCCTAGGAAGCTGGTACACCTCCCAAATCAAACTAACCAGAATAAATTTTATTTGCTTTTCTAAATTTCTTTCTTTTAGTTTCCAGTTCCTTCCTTTCAAATGGGAGAAAGAGAAACTAAAGGCACTGTATCCATCCTATCTCACTCTAGTCTATTTTTCAGATAGTATCTTAGCAAAAAAACACACCAAAAAACCCAGCATAATGTAAATGGTTCTGTCATTTTCAAGAAATAAATATGATGTAAAAGGCCACTTAGACAATAATTTCTCTTTGGTGGAAGTATTTTAAGGATAAGCACCAAATATTTGAATGCATGTTTAAATATAAACTCCTATCTACTTGGCCCAGACAAACTACCTGGTTTGATGACTCTTCTATCATCCGTGCACCGCTGTAACCCCAGGCCATCCTCTCCCATTTCATCATTCAGTCAGTCATCAAGCACTTGCACGTGATGAGGTTTCCAGAATGCCTCTGCCCCTCTAAAACGTCTTTCCTCTACATCTGGCTACCTCCTTAGACTTTATTGTCTCTTCGATGATCACTTTAACAGCCATGATATAGTTGACAGACCCATTTTGTTCCAGTGATGGCAAAGGCCACATGGATCATGGAAACCCTTATTGTTTATTCTAGGTGTTTTACACACTCAAATTCACTTGATCAAAAGAGATTAGACACAGATTAAAAAGATTAAAGAACAGACTTAAGGTCATCTATAAACACTGGTGAAGCTGCAGTCCTATTCTATTCCACTCCAAAATATATAAACTTCTTACAATATCATAAAAGTCTTTTCATATTGGCCATTAGGAAAAAAATCACGTTGGTTGTCAGATAGCTTTTAAGTACTTTGACTTCTTTATTACTTATTGATACTCTGGCTTTGATGATTTTTTTAAAACCAGTACATGTTACGCTCAAACTACTGACAGACACTCAGTAATCAAAGTTCCTAAACGCCTTAGGCCAATCCATCTAATTTTTACTTCAGTTCTTTGATTTGACATAATTCTTGGTCACAAGGACCTAAGTTAAAATTTCAGATGGCTGATAAAGGTTACCAAAGATAATAAAATTATACATTAAAATGATTGTAACTATACTTAAACTGACACATTAGCTGGTTGTTCATACATAATCAGTATACACAAGCTTAGAAAAATGTTTAATTTTTCTGATTGTACAATTTCAGAGGAGCCTGGATACATGGCTCAGTTGGTTGGAGCATTTTTCTTTACACCAAAAGGTTCAGGGTTCAATTCCTGGTCAGGGCACATACTTAGGGTGTGGGTTCGATTTCCAGTCAGGGTGAGTACAGGAGGCAACAGATCGATGTTTCTCTCTCTCCCCCACCCCTCCCTTCCTTTCTCTCTAAAAATCAGTAAAAAAATGTCCTTGGGTGAAGACTGAAAAAATTCAGATGATTCTAAAGCAGAACAGAGATTTCATTTTAACTTTTTAAAACCTCTAACCTATATATTGCAACAATGGCTACAAAATAGGGTGTTCGAATGCATCTTTAGATGTATCTATGTATGTTTGTATACATGTGCTGACACACATATGACGAAGAATTCGATGGCCTAAGGGAACTTGGCTACCTGGGAAGATGGGTACTAGTAGGAAGGCCATGCATTTAACAGAGAGACTTCTGAGGGGGAAGCAGGCAGAGGGCATTATTAACAAGGATGCTTTTTATTTCAGTTCTTTGATTTGACATAATTCTTGGTCACAAGGACCTAAGTTAAAATTTCAGATGGCTGATAAAGGTTACCAAAGATAATAAAATTATACATTAAAATGATTGTAACTATACTTAAACTGACACATTAGCTGGTTGTTCATACATAATCAGTATACACAAGCTTAGAAAAATGTTTAATTTTTCTGATTGTACAATTTCAGAGGAGCCTGGATACATGGCTCAGTTGGTTGGAGCATTTTTCTTTACACCAAAAGGTTCAGGGTTCAATTCCTGGTCAGGGCACATACTTAGGGTGTGGGTTCGATTTCCAGTCAGGGTGAGGACATTTTTTTACTGATTTTTAGAGAGAAAGGAAGGGAGGGGTGGGGGAGAGAGTAACAAGGATGCTGGGACAACAGCCACAATATGGGACTTTGGTGGTAAACAGGGGCAGACAGTCATCTAAATGTGTACAAAATCCATACAGCAATAAGTTAAAGTGAGATAAGAATACCGTAAAATATATATTAGTGAGAAATGGTAAGGAATTATGCAGAATGGCAATGAATACAACGCCATAGAGTTCACTCCGGACCTTATTCAGGTATGTATATGAAAACCTATACATTTGTCTTTGGAAAATGTTTCTCACAACTGAGTACATCAAAGTACTCTACCACCTTCCATCTGATAAACCACCTTCTTTCAGGGAAGGCGGTGATTCTGGTGACGGTCACCACCAAGACAGAGGAACAGCCTGTGAGTCCAACTTTGGGCTCTGGTTTCTCAAGATAGGTACACAGTGAACAAGTCTTGTTTTTCCTTTTTCTTTTTTTCTAATTCAGACCTGAGCAAAATTGGTAGCGATTAGCTGTCACCTACTCTACTTAACGAGGCTAATATTCATATTCACCTGTAACGAGGCTAATATTCATATTCACCTGTAACTCGGTTCAGGTGCTACACTGACAAAGAATTGCTCAGAAACACACCGAAAAGATAACAGCCCCTTTCATAGCATTCAGGGCTATTGTCAGCTTCAACTATTTCATCTTCATCTTTATATAAGTGTTTAAATTGTAGATTCTTTCAATAGTGGAGTTTTTAAAGACACGCACTAACATAATTTGCCCATTTTGAAAAGAACACTATACGCTACCTTTCAAGTGAGGGCTGTGTACGTGCATCCTCTGCAGGTGCAGGTTTATTGGAACAAACTCTAATGTTTTCTCTCCTTTGCTGCTGCTTGATTTGAAAGAGGACCCTAGATGGGAAAAAAAAATCAATATTATTAGTAAGTAAATAATGAGTGTGTGTGTGTGTGTGCGCGCGTATGCTGAAAAGTAAATTTGACATAGAAAACTGTTACAAAAGGAAGAAAAACAACTGTATGATTTGCTTTTCTTCTCAGATATTTAATCTTCTGAAACACTCTCAGTTATACTTATACTAATACCATGAGGTAAAATAGTGCATTTTTTTCTGTGTTATTTTTCATAAGATGGAAGCATCAGAAATAAAAGTTACTTTTTTAAAAGAATATTGAATCCCCTATATCCATAACCATGTTTATTATTGTTTTCACACAGCATGCATGAAACACAATTCAGGTTGAACATGTCGAGTTACTGCTTTCACACCTGTTTCCTTGCTGAGTTCGGTAAGAATGTCTTGGTACATATTCACCATCTGATCACAGTGAGTGAGGACATTTTTCCGAAGATTATCCCAGTGTGGAGAAAGTTCACCAAGTTCTTTTAGCTCCTGGTTTCTGTTAAGAATGGAAAAGATGACAAAATTTCTATTTTGCTCTTAAATCCATAGACACAAAGTGCTTAATCAGGGTTGTCAAACTAATCAGAAATTGATTCACCATCCCTTTTGGGAAAGCTCTATGTGCTTTTTAGGAGGGAAATAATCATTCTAACACAAAGAAAGATATGAATAGTGTAGGCCACACAAACATTAAAAACTCTGTATGTCATAGGGAAAAAAAATACAGTTTAAATTCACTGAGAAAAAATCACAAAGGTGGCAAAGACTCTCACTAAGGTACATATAGGCCATTTGGTGAAAAAACAAACACTAAACCTCAACAGAAAAATGGCTAAGTTCTAGGCTTTGACCATCCAAAAATAAATAATGTGGGAAGAATTATCAGACTATGTCTGAAGGAAACACAAGCTATTCAGGTAATCTAATTTATATATCATAGAGATGTAATTTTTTCAAAACCTATAAATGGTATGATCAGGTATGATTTTATTGGCCTCAGTTTCTCCCAAGAGGCCAATTTAAGGAGCATTGTGTATGTTTTGTCCCTTCTTTATCAAAAGGAAAAGCTAATCATGACATTTATGTTTTAATTATTAACTTTTATCTAATTCTCTACCCTTTATCCAAGTTAATTTGAATCATCAGAATGCCTTTTCAAATTATAATGATAAATGGCTTTAATATGCTGCTTGGTTAAAACTCTTACTCATTTCTGTAACCTTTTACACACAACATTTTCATGAGGCTAATTTAACCAGCAATAATGAACCTTCTTTGCTATTTTGGCTGTGAAACATGCTAAATACCAAGCTAATAAATTCAGACGATGTAGAATCTGTAACATCCTGTTAAATGCAAGAGTAATGGATGGTGTGCCAAAATGTGACTTGGTTTCAAATGTTTGTAGCAGCCTTTGCATTGTTTCAGTAGGGATGCAATGTAGTTTTGCTATATCTTTCATATGAGGTCTTTAAAATTTTGGGGAACAATCATCTCATTCTCAGCTGTTCCATAGATTCGCCATCAATCCCACAACATTCATTGGAAAATAAGTAATTAATCAATAGACAGTGAGAGTAAAGAAAGTCCGGGACCAAAGAAAAGATAGAAGGAAAAAGGAGGAAGCATAAGGTGGTACACAAGGCGGTATGTTACTGAGCTGGGGAGACTTCACAGAGAAACAGGGCTGGATGCTAGGTCATGTGCAACAACTCTAGAGTAGTCATATGGAATCTTTGCGCCTTGGAGCAGCTTGCTAGATGGAGGAAAGACATTTATATGCAACCTCTTTACCTTCTATATTTCACTGGTAAAGATTTAGCCTATGGGACATTAACTCCTTTGCACTCCAGTTGTGAAATCTGTCTCGTTTGGGTAGCCACCAGGGAAGCAATATTCTGGTGGAGCCCGAACTTTCCTGGGCCTGGTCTGATAAGACACAGGTGCCAAAGCCATTCTGGATCTTCCCATGGTAGATGTAATTGAGGGCATGCTAATGCCTGGTCTTAATCTTTAGGGAAACTGTGATAGTTGATGGCATTAGAAAATTAAGTGACAATAGTAACAATATATGGGGCTCTCCATTGAATAAGTGGTCAATAACTGAAGACATATTAAGGTTGAGCCAGTATAGAAAAGCATATAACCTGGGTCCAGGACAGGCACTCCCTTACACAACTCAGATGCATATGCATCAGTTTCTGGTATACAGAGAGCATATAAAACGAGCATATAAAACAATATTACTCACATCTTCCTAAAGAGAGAAGGTCAAGTACAATCATTCAAAATCGTCCCAGTTGCAATTCCCAAGATTTAAGGAGAGGTAGTGAACCAAGCTACAATATCTAATACTCCAGCTGAGATTCATCACCAATCCCCTCTACCACTCATTCCAGATTTTCTTCCACTGGCACTTCAGCTGGTCTGGGTTGTTGCTTTGTGAGGTCACTCATACCTTAATCAAAAGGGATTAGGCCCGTAGCTACCTTGCTCGTATGGACTCTTGGTTGTTGCAATTGTTCACTCATATCTGAGATGGGGGTACCTTTGGGTTCCAGACTTTTTTTCCCCCCTCAGATTGCGAAGCAGCAGCCCTCCTTCCTTATGGTGATGAGAATATCTCTTACTGTCTTTGCTGGTCCATTGTAGCAAGGAATGCATGGTAACCAGATCCATGTGCAATCAATCATAGCTTCTAGTTAAGGGGGACTATGAACTTGGTCCCCTGACAGAACTGCCAAAACCCGAAGCCCAAGAACCAGGATTCTAACTGGCAAAGTCCAAGGTTGTAGGAAAAGGCACACTTTCTGTCTAGATGATTTGTCTTGTCTTACCTTGTTTAAATATTTCAAAATACATGCTTCTCTTCTTCAGTAAAATAATAAGTTATTGGAGGTCACTAAGTTCCTCTGAACTTTCCATAAAACAAAACACACTACTAAGTATATAACATGTTTGAAACACGTATCATTGAATAACATAAAGAAAAAACGAAATTGAAAAAACAAGCAACACTATGAAGAATGAAGAGAAATAATTGAATACAGAATGAGGCATAGGGGAACTGGAAAATAAATAGCCAAAGCTGCTGGAAAGTTTTTTTAAATATAGTGCATAAAGCATTGGCAGGAATATTAAATAGATACATGGTTTCAAACTTTGTCCCTCATACCCCTGGGAGAGGGACAAAG